CCGCGGGGCCCTTGGCCGCGCAGGAGGAAAGCTTTTTCCTTGCAGCAAATCTCAGCGTCCCCTGACAAAGGCAGGGAAGAGTTAATCCCCATTCTTTTCAGGAAAATGGGGGTAGGGGGTTTATGCTGGCAGGCTGCTGCGCCTCCATCCCCCTCATCCTTCCAGCCTCCCCTTTCCCGCGGTGGAGACTTCTGTCTCCTCAAAGGATCATCCAGTTCCTGCTGCTTTCCTCCCATGACATGTTTTTAGCTCTCGTGTGGCTGCAGTTGAGGCCTTTCTGGCACCAGGAAGATTGGAGTAATCACCCCGTATATGTGCAGTAATTGCCATCTACATCTCTGTGCCTGCTGATAGAAGTCAGAAAGATTTTTTCGCAAATGAAAATGGCATTTTTTTGCCATCTCCCCGATTTCTTTTTCATGGCAGCCTACAGTTCCTTTTCCCTTATGCTGATCTGTTCTTCATGTGTATTTGTGCCTGTGGTTTTGCTTTCCTCCATTTTTATAAAATTTTGTCTTACCCACTTGTGGCAATACACCGTAATCACCTTGAATTTAAATTCCTCCCCCTCACGCCTTCTGTACACCTCCTGAATTCATATCATCAACAGATCACATATGTGCCAAAACCTTGTTTAAGTCAACTTCATCAATTGGTTTGCTTTCTCTTCTTCATTACACTATAAAAAAAGGAAAGATATAATGTAATTTGGTCCCCATAAATCACCACTGACTGTTTTTTAGTCATCTGGATGATGTCATGTGAATGCTTTGGATTTCTTGCTTTGTGCTTTACTGTGGTTTCTTTCCTGGTATTGGAGCTGGCGGGGGGGGCACTCTAATTCCCTGGATCTTCTGTCTTGCCTTTTAAACACTGATTTTAATTTGTCCTTGTCCAGTCTTCTGGGACCTTCTTCACCATGTAGGAACTAACAAAGATAACTGCAAATTATTCGGGTTGCCCAGAGATGTTGTGGGATCTCCATCCTTGGAGGTTTTCAAGATGCAGTTGGATATAGCCCTGAGCAACATGATGGGTCCCCATAGCTGCCCGTGCTTTGAGCAGGAGGTTGGATGAGACACCTCTTGAGGTCCCTTCCCACCTAAGTTACTGTATTTAGCTTCTCTGACCTCTCCTTACTCTGTTCCTTCTTAGGCCTCAGTAGTAATGGGGAAAAGAAAATTTATGCAGCTTCATGTCTTAAAATTCACTGTAGATCTTGATGACATGCTGAAGGAGGATGGATATATTCCTTTTGAACCATTGGGAAAGTAGTGTGTGGTCTCGTAGGCATCCGGCAGCCATGGAAGCATTTGATGGTTAGGACAAGCAACATGGGAGAGAGAGATTTTGCTGCTAGGTCCAGTTTTACAAGTGATTCGCAGGTGAATCCTAGATTTTTGAATGCAGGATTCTACATTGTCCTACTGGAATAAATGTAAGCATTTAACTGCAAGTTTCCCTGGGTTAGTTGAGATAGATTTCAGCACTGAAGACAGTAGCTGATATCTCAGTCTTACTCCAGAAGCTGAAGGAGTTGCAGGTATAAATCCTTTTACTTGCCAGCAGTAGTCTCTCATTCCCTGTGTGTAAGTTTTTTTACCAGGCTGTTTGTTGCAGTGACTTGCTGCTTACTTTGACTATCATGCCCAACTTTCTTATCACAGATCTAAACCAACTAACAGTTAAGTATTTAACTAATGCTCAAGTCAAGTTTACTCCTGTAAGTCCCTTATCAAATAACCATCATACTCTTACCCTTTCAGCAGGTTTAGAAAATAAAACATTTCTTTTCTGTTGGATATAGGAGTGATGTGGAAACCACCTGTTCTGTGTGAAGGACAAGAAATAAAACATTTGATAAAAGGAAGAAACAAAACATCTGATAAATGGAAGCCATGAAGATATCAAAGCGGTTCTTCGCTTTTGGGATTTTGGCATGCATAGCTATTTATGTTGCATACATAAAATGGCACTTGGATTCCAAACCAGTCATGGGAGCAACAGAAGGAGTTGCTGAAAGCAGAGGAGACAAACTGAACCATCAGGCACTGACCACAGATCTCTCGATCTTTTATGGAATTATGTTTGACGCAGGAAGCACAGGAACTCGCATCCATATTTTTAAATTTACACAGCAGCCAAAAGGTATGGCCTGCTCCTTGCATGATAGATTAGTTCTTCCATAACATATGCAGCAGATTATTGATGATTCTTTTCTAGGGATTACTTGAACAAACATGCTTTGGCTCTTTCTAGAGAGCCATCAGGAAGTATATTATGATTCAAGAATGTGGGTTTGGATGAAATTATGAAAACATTCAACACGGAGAAAATGCTGTAATATCAGAATGTGAACTAAATAGCAGCTGTTTTTCATCACACTGCTTGGTGGAAGAGAGGATTATAAATTCAAACTGCCTTATTCCCCCAAATTTTCACCATGAGGTTGTTGGCTGTCTCCAGTTCCTGGCAGTGAGCTGCTTCTCTCTGAATTGTCTGGTTTAGTGCATCCCTGACTTCAGTGTTGGATTTAAATTGCAAAACTTCACTGTTTGAATAAAATTGCTGTGTATTGCATCTGGACAGAAAGTATTGCTAAGAATCGAGACAGAAGTGTACAAAAAAGCTCCGGTTTTCCTCTGGAGTCCTAAGCTTCATTTGTTTAGGTGTTGTCAGCTCCTATTTCTGAAACTCTTAAAGATGAAAGAACCCATGTGGATGCTGTTACTGGTGATCTGAGGATACTTTTAAGGATTAGCAGTGTGGTGTATGGTGTGATTGGCCTGTGGGGAGCACCTTAGGTTTGCAAAATGGGCTAGTGTAAGGCTTAGCCACCAAAGGCGTTAAACAACAGTCCATGGATTTCCTTCTTTCAGTGTATTCCCAAATCTTTGCTTCTTTCTTGCCTGCTTCTCTTTAAACACAATTTCAGAATATATCGCAGGAAACTTTATGCAGTGTAGTCGGGTACAGGAGGAGGATGTTGTCAAACTCATGTTGTCTTGCCTGCAGATTCATATAATTGTCTGTACTACAGGTTTCCAAAATACTTAGGTCTGGCTTCCTCTGCTGCCATTGAAAATGGTGGTAAAGCTTCCACTGAGTTTTGCTGGAGTCAAGTTTAGCCAGAACAGAGCACACTGAAACACGGGGTCTTTGTTACCGTTGCAGTTTGGAAAGCTGCATATGGCAGGTGTAAGGTCTCAAAGAGAACTTGCACCCATCTGGTGATTGGCTGATGTGCATGAAAAATATGTGCATAGTGGACACCAGCACCTGAAAAATAGTTATGACTTTTAAAAATGTTTTTTTCGGTAGCTAATTGCATAGCAAGGGCTGTATTTAAAGGTCACATGGCTGTTGATAGTTCATTAGACAGGGGCTTCAGTTGACTTCCATTAGCGCATAATGATGTAATTTGTAAAATGGTTTTCTTTTTGTGTATGCAAAATTATTTGTACCATTACTTATTTTGGCATACTGCTTTTGAACAGAGACTCCCAAATTAACCCATGAGACGTTTAAAGCACTGAAGCCAGGTCTATCCGCATATGCCGATGATGTCGAAAAGGTAATTTTGTTCCTGTTACTGTAAACGTATGTGCCCCAAAACCTCCTGTTCTTGATATGCCCTGCAAATCACATCTTGCTGTGGTACAGTGTGCTGAACTGTCTCAGTTCAGGGAAGCGTCTCCAAGTGATACGAGCTCACAGTAAAAGTTGGTCAACATGCAGAGGAGCAAGGAACAGTATGCATCTAGTTCCGCTCATTGGTGTTGTTAATTAAGTACAGTGGATGTTTTTCCTATCTCTGCCTTAAGAATTTTGATGCGCTTAAGAAAATGACAAAAGAGCTGTGTTGGATTGGAGCAGAGCCTTCTCCAAAAGTGACCAGAATTGGATTCTCAGGAAAATAGTCTAAAAAACAGGCCAAGTACTGAGTGTCTTCTCTCCTGTCTTCCTTACCTTCTGGCTCGCAGGGATTTAGGGACTTCCTGAGCTAGACTTATACTCAGCTCATAGTGTTTTACTGGCTCCAAAGGCCTTTTTTTTCCAAGGATTTGTCATACTGCCTTTTGAACCTTTTTGTAGCCAAAACATTCAGTGGCAGGGAGTTCTATATCACTGTTTGAAAAAGTGACTCTTCCTGTTTGTTTTAGACCTGTTGCTGGATTATATCCACCAGGTCTCACGCTGTAGGAGATAGTGAGTCCTCCACCTTCTCCTGACCCCTTGTGATATTCACTTGTCTCTGTTCCACATTTACAATGAATCATACCTCTGATCACCCTTTTGCCCTTCCAAGAAAGGCAAATCTAAAGAGTTTCTAAGATGCCTTTTTTTGTTTTTTCTCTGCTCACAGAGTGGCCAGGGAATAAAAGAGCTCCTGGAGGTGGCGAAGAAGGAAGTTCCTATGGAGCTGTGGAAGTTTACTCCTTTGGTCCTGAAAGCCACAGCTGGCCTACGGTTGCTGCCAGGAGAGAAAGCTCAGAAGTTGCTGGATAAGGTACTATTTCTTGTCTTTCAGTTTGCTTTCCAGAAATTTTATAGCAAAATTTGATCCCTTCTGTGTAAGGTTCATACTCCTTTATCTTCATGTACATGAGCCAGTCCTATCATTTAACCCTGAAAGCAGTGCAAAGCCACCTGATCTCAAATGGGGTTGGGGGGAGAAATTGCGTGAGTACAAGCACAGAGGAATAACGACATTTCCGAATAAGCCTGGAGATGACATATAACATAACAAGTGTAATGAGATACTCCTAACAGTCACCACAGGCTTGTTCTTTACTGGGCGTGTTTGTTGGTGGTTTTGACCAGGATGCTGCTGTTTTGAGAAAAGCTCTCTGCTATTTGATTGGTCATGTATCAGCCTGCTGCTTCAAGGTTGCTCCTTTATATTGATTGGAAATAATGTATATTGTATTTATAGGCATGTAAAATATGTATAATATTTTAAAATATTACAAAAATAAACAAAATATTATGTTCTAGACCTTACGGCTGCGGGAAAAGTTTATTAAGTGTGCACTAAGTGTACTCTTTCTAAGCAATAATTGGAAGGAAAGAATGTGGTGTGTTTGAAACCAATGTCTGTATTGTTCTCTGCTGCCTGCAAGCTGGCCCGTTCTTTTCCACGCTGAATTTCAGCTGGAACTGCTGCAGTTGTTATTTTAGAGGACTCTGGAAACTTAGGGCTTTGCTACCTCATATAAAATGTACGGGACCTCTAACAGCCAACATACTCCTGTTAAAAATGCCATTCCCTGGGGCGTTCCTGAAAGCCAGGGTGTCCATCTCCTGCCTCTCCCGTGCATATATAATACCCTGTGGGTTGCCAATTGCAGCAAAGTAAACTGGGTTTCCTTCCCTACCCATGTCCATCCCTTGTTAATGGCATTTCTGAGCAGTCTTCATGCTTGAAAATCTACACATCCATCTCTGTCTGTGCACCAAACTGCAGAGCCAGCGTGTAAATCACTGACGTTTTATAGCAGAGCGGAATCTGATGCTTCTTGGGCTCTTGAACATCAAAGTGGTGAGCAGCAGTCAGGATCTGGCCCAAGAAGAGAAGCAGTTGTGTAAAACTGGAGTTTTAAAAAAACTTGCTTTCCAGCTGAAAAAAGGTTTCTCTGAGTGTAGCTTTTATTTGAACTACAGGTGAAGGAGATTTTTCAGGCCTCCCCCTTCTTCGTGAGGGACAACTGTGTGTCGATAATGAATGGAACCGATGAAGGTAGGCTAACTTGTGGAGACCCTTTCTGCAATCCTGGAGATTCCCGCTGCACTGTGCCAAGTCCCCACTCGCTGTAGTGGGAACCCACAAGCAGCGGGTTTGACACAGTTTTTACACTGCCTCAGGCACTGCCTGCCGAAGAGATCTTGTGCTACGTTTCCCAGTTTGAAGTCCTGAACTCTGTCCTGATTTTCAAAGCTCTGAGTGCCAGGCAGTTCCTGTGGGATTACCAGGAAGCCACTGTGCAGTCAGCACTTCTGGAAAGGTTTCTGAATATCTGCTTGTTGAGATGGTTTTCAAAAACTGGTTTTGTACACCCTGCTCTTGACAATGCTCATCAGAGCTTTCTGGAAGTATGTGGTCATAATGTTAATTATAACTGATCTAATGAGTGTGATTGTGAATTGAATCTGAAAAAATGTTATATAGAGAAGAATATACATGCTGAAGTAACTTGATGCTTATCAAAAAACGCTGAGGACAGAACCCAGAATCAGTCTTGATTTAAAATAATTTGAAGAAACATGTCTAAATTCTAAGTAACTGAGTGTTGAAATGTGTTTTAAATCTGCTTAGAAACCAAACTTTAAAACAGCTGGAGCTGTTTGGAGCTGTTTATGAGTTCCTTTTTTACTGCTTAATGGAAGAAAGACATTGTAATTCTTCTTTTTGTTTTGTTTTAAAATCATTAATAGCAATGACAGCCTTGGTTCAGCCAAGGGTTTAACTGGACCATGTTCCCTACCATGCCTTGAGCTTGAACCACATGGATAAACATTTGAGTTTGTTAACATAAGGTCCACTAATTCATCTAATTTATGGAGAAAAGGTTTATAAAACAAGAAGAGGATGGAAACAGTGCGGCTCACAAAAATGCTTAGAGGAAAATAGGAAAAATTAGAACACTGAAAAGATGAAAATTCTTTGTATTCAAAAGCAAAGTTGAGTGCCTGACATCAAAAAAAAGCCTACCAGTGGATGTTTTTGTAGAAAATGAACAATGTGAGTGTCAGTCATTGTCTTTTACCTAAGGACTGAAGCCTTTGTGACTTCTTGCCCAAGTTTTTGACCTGTGAAATACAGAGTTCTCCAGGCATTTCGTATATGAGGCTTCTCTTCCAAATATCACATAAGCTCCAGTATAGAAGGTCATTCTCTTTGTTCAAGGCATCTAATCTTGGTTTTTGACAGCAGTTGACAGTTGTGGAAACACTGGCTTTGAGTCAAGGTGGGTCAGGGGAGCTCAGCAGAGCCAGTCCTATTCACCCTTCTTGAAGGTCCTTCTTGATTAGCTCTCAGCTAGACATCCTTTGGAGACTTTGTATTATAAGTCCTCCATTTATGAAAGGGGGACAAGGGAGCTTGTGGCAGATGGTCTCTGGTGTCTCTGTCTATTGTTGGATGACAAGCTCTGGTTTGCTGATTATTTTGTTTAGACAGCACAGTTAAAATGTATGAGAAAACTTAAAAATGCCTCCAGCTAAACAGATCCTAAAGCAGGAAGACCTTGTAATACTTCTTGCCTTATTTGTAACTGTTGTTAGATAAAATGAAATGGTATGATCTAACAGTGCATCTTCTGAATCTTTTCCCTATTAGGTATTTCAGCCTGGATCACAATAAATTTTTTAACAGGTATGTGTACATGAGCATGTGCATAAGGATATGACCGATGCTGTGAAATTCATGCTGTTTTCTGCCCCTGCATGGGATTTTCTCATTCATTGGGGTGGAGTGGGAGAAAGAAGGATCTGGGAATAAGTCAGCAGTGGTTTATGGCCTGGCCTATTCAACTCATTAGGATTTTCGCCAGTTACTTGACAGTGTGAGGAGTTTAATCCCTTTTCCTAGATGTTTAATGTAGCCTTTCTTTCAATTCCCTGTAGGGTACCAGAGTATTTTATTCCTTTTTATAGTCTGCCATTAGCTCTGGCTAATTTTTAATGTGGATATTCTAGATGTGCTTGGCAGCTGCACAGAGTGAAAGAAAGTGCTGTGCTACTTCCTTACAGATTTGTATCATAGAAATAGCACGAGTGTTTACACTTCTGAGTTAGAAAAGGGTAGCTGAAGAGTAAAGAAGAAACTAAGCTGAAGCCCTCTGTGACAGTAAGTAAAGCAGTCTGCTGCCCCAGTGCTCTGTTCAGCACACACAGTGTGTGGGGCAATACGACAAGAGCCCTAAAGCTTTTTATGCTCACAGGAAATATCAGAAAGGTCAGAGATCTTCAAACATCAGCTATCATGAGGTATACTGAGGTACTTGGCACAAACTGGTCTTGTCAAGAAGGTGTATTTGAAGGATCTAACTGTGAAGAACTGGATTTAAATGAGAAGAGAGGTCTGGGCTGGCAGCAGGAAGAATTCCAAGAGAGCTGAGTCTCTTAGGCCAACTCTTTTCAGTCTCTCATCCCCTTGGCCATAGGAATCTGCAAAATATCACTAAGGGATCAGGGAGAGGTGGCCAAGAAAACCACATTCCTCTGTGTTACGAAGTGGTTACCAGAGTAGAGTTTGCAAAAGGGTCCTTGGCATCCACTGAAAAATGTTTAGGAATCCAATAACCAAAGCTGCTGTAATTAGGGCATGAACAGCCACCAGAGGAATGAGAGAAACTCTGTCACTTGAAGATTTTCAGGTCACCCTGATAAAGCCAAAATAAGTGCCCAGTAGATGACGGTATAATTTAGTGCTGGCTGGAAGCTGACAGATGGAATTAGATTGTCCTCTTTCTTTACCACTGTACTTCTGGTTTTGTTCCTAGCCAATTTCTCACAGTGCCCACCATGGCTTTCTCTGTTCTGTCACACATTTCAGGTAGCCTAGATGATCCGCAGAAGAGAAGTGTAGGGATGCTGGATTTGGGTGGTGGATCAACACAGATCACCTTCCTTCCACGCACCAAGGTAATGTGAACATGCACGCTGTTGAGAAATGCTGGTGCAGAAATCAGTAACTGCTCAGATTTGTTTCCCTTGGAATCAGACCAAGAGTTTGTCAGTGTGACATGAAGCCACACTTCTGACAGAAAAGCCCAGGTCACATGGTCACATCTGCCTTGTTATAGTCAGTCATGGAGGCATTCACAACTCTTTGTCAGTCCTCTTACTCCAACTCCATGGGTCGGTGGTGCATGTGGTGAATCTGCCAGGGTTGTTTTATCTTGGGGAAAAATGCAGTGTTCGCCTGAGCGTCTCAATCCTCAGCTCTCAGTTTGTGCTGCTTATAATGAAGAACTTAAAGGCAATGCTGTTAATGAATTCAAGTCCAACATTTGGCCTATATTGGGTTTTAAGAACACAGTAAGATGCCTTCTGAATCCTTGTTTCTGGTTTTCCTGAGTTCACTCAGTTGCAAATGGTTGCTTTCTAAGGAGCAACTGTTACGCAGTAAAAAATACATGCTGATGTTTGTCATTTCAGCTTCCTGTTGTGGCATTTTTATAGGTGTTCTGTGAGCTGGAAGCCCTGCCCATGTGGAGTCGTAAGGCTCTGGCCTGAGAAGAGATACTGTTCATAGTAAAGCTGCACAAAAGCAGGGGGTTGGGATGTTGTATCTAGTGTCCCAGCCTGGGCTAATCAAGACATTGTGCTCTTAAGCAGAATGACAGGGGATGTGAAGAGTCTGGCAGGTGGAAATTCTGGACTTAGAGATGGTGTTAAGATATGAGCAAGCATGAATAGCATCGTGGCCTGAGCTTTGCTCCACACAAACGTGCTAGCGCTAGCCGTGCTGGTGCACTTAGGAAAAAGGCTGCAAAGTGCTTTAGATAATTACCCTTCCATTTCTTCAGACCACACTGAAGACGTCAGTCTGTTCCTTGGCAAGCACAGTGATGTGCTTTTCCCCTGGCTTGTGGAAGTTCACAGCTGAATTCACTTGAGTAGGAAGCTAATGCGTGCCTGGCTTTCATATTATTTTGCACACAGTTTTCCCTAGTAAGGATCATGTGCAGAGGCAGTTGCTGTAGCCTCTTGACAAAAGCAGTTAAGAGCTGGAATAAGTATTCCTTTTTAATTAAAATAATTCTCTTATACACCAATTTGGTATGGATACAAATAGAAATGTAACCAGTTTAGACTCTGTCATGTGAAGACACTATTTTAGCTCCAGGTTTTGTGGTTGTCTTGTGTATCTGTGGTCAAATCGAAATACTTGCAAATTCATCATTTCTCTCAGAACCATGCATGGATTGTTTCACGGTTTTCCTAACAATTTGGAAGATAGCATTGTTGATGTTTGCTGCTGCTGGCAGAAACCTTGCAGTGACATCTTTTTCTCCCTCCAGGCAACCCTCCAGACATCACCAGCTGGCCATACAACTTCATTTCAGATGTTTAACAACACCTACAAGCTGTATTCATACAGGTTAGTTGTACGAAAGAGAGCACACTGTACAGATAGAAGCTTTCTATGAAGCCAGTGAGATCTAGGTGTTTTGCTGAAGTGGGGTCCTTGCAAATGAGTACTGGGAGGAAGCAGAGAAACCTGAGCCGCGTCGTTGTGGTGGATTAACCTTGGCTGCCCACCAGGTGCCCATCAAGCCGCTCCAGCAACAGGACAGGGGGAAGAAAATGTGACAAAAAGCTCATGGGTCAAGATAAGGATAGGGAGGTCACTTACCAGTTACTGTCATGGGCAAAACAGACTCAACTTAGAGAAGTTAATTCAATTTATTGCCAATTAAACAGTAGGATAATGAGAAATAAGAACAAAATCAAAAACACCTTCCTCCCGCCTCTCCCTCCTTCCCGGGCTCAGCTTCACTCCCAACTCTTCTACCTCCTTACCACCAAGCGGCACAGGAGGATGGAGAATGGGAGTCGCGGTCCGTTCATAGCGCTTTGTCTCTGCCATTCCTTCCTCCTCGCTATCTTCCCCTGCTCCCAGTGTTTTGGGCAGAGGGAAGCAGCTTCTTCCCACCTATGTTTGCTGTGGGATATGTCTGAGCTCAAAAAGAGTCAATTCTGTATGCTAGAGGCTGTGCTGCCTTTGAGGATGGTAGGAGAAATGTTAGGGGAATGCCTTCAGCATTCCCAGTTCTTCAAGAGCCAGATTATCGTTGACAGCTATTGCCTGTGCTTTTTCAAAGAGAGATTATCCTTCTGGGTAAGGGTAATATGAGAGTGGGTTGTCACACTGTTCCCCTTATGTGCATTAGCTGCTGACTCGAGCCATTTTGCTGGGACCATGGATGTCCCAGCCAAGTTGTCAGTGGAGTATCAGAGAGAAGGATGTTTGTTGTTCACAGAGGCTTTTATCCCTTTGCAGTTACCTGGGACTTGGGCTGATGTCAGCAAGGCTTGCCATTTTAGGAGGAGTTGAGGGAAAACCCTGTAAGTTATGGGCACTCCTCATGTCTTGGCTCTGAGCATAGGGTATGTAGCCCTGTTGTGGGGGGAGGAGTTGTCTGTCCCCTTCCCACTGGGCTCAAGATTCCTCAGTGGTATGTGGACTCCTGTCACCATGGCTGGGTGCATTTGAGACGAATGCAGGAGGTGACACTGCTAGATCCCAGGAGACCTGGATTCTTGCCAGCCCTGGGCGGGGGGATGGGACATCTGAGCCATGACTGGGGCTTGGAGGTGCCTTGCTGAGGCTGTGGGACAGTATGGAGCAGGGCTGGGGGTGAGGGATCTGAAATTAACTCCTTATGTTTTTCCCTAATGTGGCTTCATTTTACATCTGCAGTAGGAGAAGGGGAGGAATTGATCAGCCCTTGTTTACCACCTGGCTTCAAATCTGAATGGCAACATGCTGAGATAGTGTACAAAATTAAAGGACAGAAGGCAGGTATAGTGATTTATCACTCTTCCTATCTAGGCCAGCATGCTATTAGCAGAGTAAATAATATACTCTCAGCCTCTTGCAAAGACACTAGGTTCTGTGTTTAATGTTGTGTCTGGCTCCTCTTGACGTGCTGTTAAAGAGATTCTGCAGCTCTTCCTCTTGTGCCATGGTGTGTCTGTCCAGTCAGTAAAGCTGCTAGTAGTAATGCAGATGGAGTTAAGCAATCCCTGAACAGGTCTTTCAAAATCCTTCTGCCTTAAATGATGTTGTCCATCTCTGATCTATTGCACACTTAGTCCCAACCTGAGGATGGTAAGTGTTGCCACTGGAAGAAGATGCAGATTTCAGTTCTCTGTGAAGAGCTTACGGAGTGCTATTGTGCAAAAGGGAGCCTGTTTCCTGGCAGATCCTAAATAAATTGTATGTATATTTAACTCTCTGCCTATAATACGCTGGGTTTCTTTGCCTTCTTTTAGGTGAGCCTCTGTATGAGTCTTGTTCTAACAAAGTGGCAAAGATGCTCTACAAGAAAGTGCATAAAGCTGAGGAAGTGAAGGACTTGGATTTTTACACCTTCTCCTACTACTATGACCGTGCAGCAGAGGTTGGTCTCATAGGTACGTTTGCTCCTGTTTTCATTTCATTTCAAATGACAAGTTGTGGAAAAAATGGTAACGCTTACACACATCATGATGCTTTGCTAAGCTGTCATGGAACTTAGTCTTTTGTTACGCTGCTGTGCAGCATTGGTCTCAACTGGATTTTGAATGCTATTTAATTTCTATAGGGAGGGGACTGGGGCTGTGAAATAGGACCTGCAACTTCTGGTAATGGTTTTTAAACAAACTGTCTACATTTTAGAAATCATTGTTGTCTGATTAACTCCACAAACCAAAATAGAAAAAAGCCCTCATAAAGAAACAAATTTATTGGGCGGTAAAGCAGTGAAGTAATCTTGGGCTGTGTGTTTTGTTTCACTGACCTTTTTAGATGGAATGAAGATTTTCAGGTAATTCCACATGTATTCAGAATGCATGCCATCTCTTTTCCAGTGGTATGCTGGTGTACAGAAGGCTGTCGTGTTCAGTGGTAGAAAGCAGATGATGAGATCTCAAGCTAGTTTGGATAAACATACTCCCCTCCTGAGCCACTTTATTATTTACAAATAATTTCAGATTTAGTATGTAGCAGAGCGCCACTGCCATGTCAGATCTGGTCAAATGCATTAACTGTGTTCAGGCATCACTGGGCAGGGCAGCACAGACATGGGGACGTGGTGAGAGAGTCTGTAAACTATGCTTCTGTAGGAAACAAGGCTAAAAGTTCTTCATAAAACGAGGCCTTTCAGTCTATATTAAGAATCTTTTAAAGGTTCTTTTACCTTTAAAGCAAGTGTGAGTTTTGTCATTGATTTCAGTGGCTCAAGGCTTGATTTCCAAACAACTTTTATTACTTGAATCTACAATTGCCTTTATACAAAAACCATAAAAGACCACATTTTTTTTTTCTTTTAGATAAAGAAAAAGGAGGAAGCTTAACTGTCGGTGACTTTGAAATTGCAGCTAAATACGGTGAGTAAAATACAGTCAAACACACACTAGTAATTGTGTGTAAATTCATACGCATGTGGCAAATGTGTGACACGCTAAGAAGCTTGATTTTTTTGTTTTAAGTAAATATTGAACACCTCCCTTGAGCACCTCTCTCCATAGCATCTCACCAACATTTCTGCTTATTTCCAAAAATCTTAATTATTTTTATATTAATTCTTGCTTTTGCAGCCCACATAAGACACATCTTATAATACTTATATTTCAAAACTCTCTCAAGAATTACTAATAAACTTGCCAGTTAACAGTTGTCCTGAAATCATGCTTTCAAAATAGATGTGGGGGTTCTCATCCTGTTAGCATAACCTGTTCTAATCTGGTTTAATTTTTCTTTTTGTCTCAAGATTTGTTCATATGCTTGATTGTTAATCGGAAAAAGGGGAAAACCGGTTCATAGCTTTTCGCTTCATCAGCTGCAGAGAGAACTGCCTACGCAGATTTACAAATGTAAACATTCTTTTCTTAATATCACAAACTCAGGCTTTGATCAAACTGACATGGGGCTTTTTGGTAAACTTTATGAATGACTGAACAATTGTTGCAGTTCTGATTTCTGGACTACCATTTGCGTAATTCATCCTGAGAAAGGAAGTGGGTTTTATTTTGGTTTTGTCTTTTTCTTTTCTTTTGTCTTTTTTTTTCTTTGGTTTTGTTGAGTGCTTATGCTTGAGAAACATAACACACCTGAGATTGCTCAGATTTTTAAAGGCTTGAAGTAGACAGAAGAAAAGTGGAGGCCTTTTTCATCCTTTCCTGGAGAGATGCAAGAAATTCAGCTGTCTTAGGGGAGAGACAGAATGCCTTGATCTTCCTTTCAGTGTGCCAAAGCTTTTGTGCTTCTGCTAATGTGTGCATATCATTTCAACCCCATTGTAACAGGTTCCATCACTGTTCAACTCAACTGACAAGAGGTGTTTTATGGATTCATTTGAGGTTTTTCAAAGCTGGGCTGATGCTAGGCCTGAGCCCACAGTGCGCATTCAGACACTGTTTTCTTTCTCCTTAGTATGTAAGACCATGGAAATCAGCCCCGGAAGCAGCCCTTTTCTCTGCATGGACCTCACGTACATCACCTGCCTCCTGCAAGAACTGGGCTTCCCAAAGAGCCAAGTCTTTAAGGTGATGCACAAAATGGATTGCTGGGGAGAGTGGGCAGGAAAGTGCCGAGGCAGTAGTCGTCATGCCAGTAGCTTGGTCCTTGATTTGCCTTCTTGCTACAACACATGCTCTGTGATTGGGGGTGGAGGGACACTCTCCACGATGGTGATACTGGTTGTGATAACCTTCAGCCCTGTATTCATCTTGCATGCTTCTCCTTCTCCCGAAGAATTGTTTTAACTTTTTTGTTTGATTTTCTTTCTCTCAGCTGGCCCGGAAAATTGACAATGTTGAAACAAGCTGGGCATTGGGAGCCATTTTTCATTACATCGACTCACTCAATAGACTGCAGTACTAAAGCTCCTTGAAGGTGACTTTTGGGAATCTCAGTTTTTGGAAACCCAACACGGGAGAATCTGCTGAAGGGCCTGCTTTTGGCTTCTGGAGTCCTTTGGGAGGTCATCATAAACTAGGCCCCTTTCCTCCCACCCCGTGCCAAGTCCCCTCAGTCACTAGCTCTTTTTTACAGTGCAGAGTGCGGTATCTAAAGCATAAGCCTTGATTTGACAGCATCCGTAGTCAACTTGAGGTAAAACTTGATCATTGTTGAAGGAAAATCAGGACTCTGCAGGACATCTATGATCTCTATGAGAAAAACACACCTTTTTGGAATATGCCTGTACTATGTGCTTGTACTGTGCTGAAGTCGCTGTAGGAAATGGTCACTCCGGAAGGAAATCTTTACCGTCCTGATTTCAGGGTGGTTTTTTCCTGTTTGTCAGCAGTTTTCAGCGATGATTTTTATTTTACTGCTTCCGTGTTTGAAGGTGAACTTGTGTGTGTGTGTGCAAAGACAGTGCATTTACACAGATGTGCTGCTGACAGGTAGCAGCTTTGAAATGCAATGTGGAGGTCTCAGCTCTGCTTTCCACTTGCTGAACTAGAAAAGCTCAGGAGCACTCTAGAAACTGGATATGGACTTAGAGGCATGAATCAGAGCCTGTATGCGCTGTAGAGTTAAAGCCTACAGCCTAATGTTGGTTCCCTGGCTGTTGGGAGATGGATGGTGGAAGACATCATCAGATTTGAGCATCTAGACAAGCAAAGCCTGGGAGTTGGTACAGGGCTACTGATGGATTTGACAGTTCTAGAGTCGGTCAGGGTAAGATCGATGAACAAGATGCAGCCACAAAAATAAACCCTGAGCACGGCTTATTGGACCTCACAAACATTTGTGCCTTGGCAAGGTTCATACAGGGCCCAGGATGAATGCATTTACATGGTGGTTTGGGTGCCGCTTCCTGCAGACACATCTCACTTTGATAAACGAATGTATTGTCGTTGCACTGAGCAGGGTAGCTGCAATGCACCACTCCAACAGTGTCCTGTATGCAGGCTGGAAGTGATCTCAGAAGCGGTGGGAACTGGAGAGGACATGCTGCGCTATTTGTAATCTAACTGTGGAATTGTGTGGTATTTTGTGGATGTTTAGAGCAGACCTGAGTGGTCTTTTGGGGGTGCAAAAGAGCCCAGCCTCCTGGAGAGCCAGCAGCGTGTGCCCCAACTCGTGGGCTTGTGGCCACAGCCTCGTCCTTTCCCTGCAGCAGCAAGACGTATGGCGGCGTGTGGTGCTGCGTGGCTGCTGGCGCTGCAGCTGAGTGTAGAGGGGACACTTGAACCCCACTGTACTGACAATAAAACCCCAATTTAAAATGAAAACATGGTGGTGATGGTAGTGTGGCTTTTAGCACCAGAGGCCGCAGGGCAGGTGGGTTGAGAAATGAGTGCCCTGATGCCATCCCTGTCCCCTCATGCTGTCACAGTCCCTCCATCGCCCCCGTCCCCCCATGCCATCCCTCCCTCCACATGCCGTCACTGTCCCCTCAAACCATTCCCATCCCCTCACACCATCACAGCCCCAGATGCCCAACCCTGTCCCCACACCCTATCCCTGTCCCCACACACCATCCCAGCCCCCCATATCATCTCCGTTC